TAATGACACTTGAAACTGAAACAGCATAGTATCTGGCGTGAATAAATATCATACGTATTATTATATATAATGTGTGTTATTATTGAAGCATTGTTTATTTGTACGACGAGGTAATTTTCAGTGCTGTATCCTTAGGATGACTAACTCAAGCGACGGACAAATTTAGGACTAACTGTTGAGTAACTATGTTAATAGAATATACTTCTTATTATGTTATAGAATATATTTAGATATATACTTTATACCTCTTTGGCCTTCAGAAGAGCCTTCAGACATCGTTGCTAAAATTAAATGTCTAAATCGCGTCTATATGTAAATTAGGTAATTGGTAAATTGGGGGTATTTTGGGGTAAACTGGCTTATGGATAAACAAAGCTAGGCAAATGTAATGCACATTTTATAAATTCTCACTAATGTTAATGTCAACCGGTTCCATCTACGATAGCTGAGCATGACAAAACTTGAATTTGCACGACACTCTTTTTACTGCCTAAAGTTGCCGACGCAGTTACATTGTAAGTTAGCAAGTTAGTTCAATAGATTGGCACATGCGGATATATTGCCGTATATCTCTATTCAAATATGAAATAAACTGTTCTTTTTTAAAGCGCTCTGTAGGGCTCCGTTACAAAAAGTACCCGGCTGTATAAAGATGACATTGTATGACTGTCCAGAGACTAAAACAGATGTTTACTACTCTAGTTTCGGTACCGAAGGATCTGGGCCGCCCCCATTATTCCTACACATAGAACCCAGGGCAAAGCGAATAAAAATGACCGACACATAGTTACGCGTTTTGCAGTGTATCGGTTCCACCACAGCATATGTGGTACAGTGAGTATTTATATGTCAGACGCCCCAGGCGTCTGTACCAGATGTGGTGGAATATAGGTCAGGTACCAAGCAGAGTGGCGGGGCATTAACTTCGCTGGGTGGGCTTTCCAACCGCGAGCATTGGTTTTGAGATGTTAGCATCATACGTTGAACGTAACCGCATAATTAGTTATATATATATAATAAACATTTGAGTAGGCGGCATAAACCAATCACGAATGATTTCTAAAAATAAACTATACTGCCGCAGCGAGATGCGTGCAACCGCAGACAGCTTTACCCGGTTTCGGTTGTATGACGTACTGCTCAATGCTGAACAGCTGAATATTACCATTCTATTGGAATGATGACTAATTCTGCCGGAACTTTATTTGAATTTGAGCTCTGTATGATACAGTACTGTTGTTATAGGTAGCCTATCTATATAGCTTACATACCCTTCTCATTTACAGGACTCAGGATTTCGAGAGGTTAATACTGTAGCCTGTTGCGCCAGTTTACTTATCAAGGGACATCTATTTTATAGTCGAAACAAATCCGATGCTATTATTGCTACTAAACGTGTTCAAAGCAAGCAATAGATATATTGATTATGAATAAAACAACTGCTGCAGGGAGCGGTAGGAAGCCGAGCAAAACGTTTACAGAAAAAGCTATTGAGGGACGTAGCTGGCCGTTGTGACTGGACGACTTTAGAGCGGGTCGGCTTGCGGACTGGATAACTGTGAAAGTCAGTCAGGACTGCCTATGTGTTCCAGTATTGAAATTTCTGAGTCCTTTTTCAACTGTTATACATCTGAGGGTACATACTAGAACGGAACTATAAGCTCGAATGTATCCTCCATATGCGCGTTCACCTCTTAAATGTCATTTCTTAGCAATATTCTTATGGTGGCTTACATGGCATTCGGCACCCGTGGGAATGGTACACGTTACGACAATAAATACGGAGTATTTCTCAGCCTTCGCTTGTGTGATTGGAAAATATATGCAAAATAAGAAAGAATTTCTGTACCCTCCCCACTCTATCTACGGAAATTTATCCTATCGCACACTAGTGGAAAAGACATACAAAAGGAAACAAGGTCAGTCCACTAAACAAGCCTAGTTAGGAAAACAGCCAAGAAAAAAGGTCAAACAGAAACCGTCCAAAAAGCGGCTTGAAGAAGTAAAGGATGCGGCTGGCCGTTCTATGAGCGAGAATTGCAGTTACCCTCAGAGTCTTCTTAACTTTAGGCGTTCCTCTCTTACTGTGAGCCAGAAAGATCCCTTCTGACAATTGTGCTCTCTAAGATTTATTTTTAAATGAAGATTATATTGCGTTTCCGTCAGCCGTGGTAGGCATTCACATCCATTTTTGAAAGGCTGTTATAAAAACCTCTTAATTAACTGACTATACATTTAACAAGCGGTACCATGACTTGCCCACGGTTCCTCTTCGAAAATTCGAGATTCCTGTGGGGGAGTATACTATTCAATCGAGTCTGCTGCATTGCTTGGTTATTTGTCTTGTTTCACATAGTAGCTTTCTTACTTGACCCTGGTAATGTCGGTGTCCTGGTTTCTTAGTGATGCTCAAGTTAGAGTAGAATTGATGTGGAATATTATAAAAGTTTGGGCCACTTTGTTCTAACCCGAACGATAGGATGAAAGATTCTCGAAAGAGCAGTTCCAAACAGAGCGATAATGTTTTTCGTGAATTGTACCTCTAGACAAGACTATTTGCCCAGGAAGTGATACATGCTTGAGAGGCAAGTTTAATTACGCTTCATTTTAACTAATTTTTGCTCTTCGATGGCAACTAAGTTTTGCTTGCAGAACTTCACCATTCTGTAAACTTGTTTGTAGAGCCGGAATGTGACTAGATCACATAAAAGGGGATGTGTATGCAAGATTACGTGAAAGTCTTTCTGCACATTAGCGCAGTCAAAACAGATATCGAATAATTCTAATATCAGAAATTATAGAACAGGAACAACTTTTCTCCTTGCCCACTGTTCTGGGTTTTATGCTTTAAGTCTGTACTAATCAAATCTAGTGCGGCCGCTTAATTAGTGACACGTTGACCCAAAATGGATATTTGCTTGATGGGGCCGCATGCGGCACCCCTTCTCCCTCTAATCGATCTCTCCCTAATCTGTGTCAAAGAAACGTCACACAGGATCGTCATATCAGTTCTAGTGAACTGCATTCATCTCACACAGAATATAGCCTTTAAAAAGATATTTAATTAATTTTAGACCTCGGCTAAAGCTAAACAAATACGCTGTGTAGGGATCCCTTTCCTGCTATTATCAATATTATAATAACATTGTTAATAAGCAACATCCGTAGGAAATCATCGCTAGCGTAGACGAAATTTGGATTTACTATTTACGTTTGAGGGCACGTAAGACGTACGTATCCTTTCTAAACTCTGAAACCCCCACTATTCATATAGGACGTTTGATATTAGTAGGATTTCTTTTTTGGCTTTTTTGTTCTTAGTTGACACATCGAAATGATAAACAATAATTCTCGTGTGGTTGTTTTCTACATGGTGATCGTCTCCTGTCTCTGGGGTATCTCTCCTGCCTCTGAGGTATCTCTCCTGTCTCTGAGGTATCTCTCCTGTCTCGCGCCAAATTATCGCGATGAGCGTGACAGTTCGAAGAAATTTAATATCTGTTTAAAGCACTCTGATTTAGATTATACTGTTCTAAAAACAGCGACGTGGAAACGTAAAATCGCGTAGATTTATTAACATTAGACCACTGAGCGCGGATATTCTCAAATAATTTAGGTAAACATTTAAAATATTCTCGTGAACAAACGACTTTAGCGTACTGTTCACGTGGCAAGAAAAAAACTTTCTGAAGAAAGGGCATAATCACGCTAGTTATAAACGACTCGACTTTTTCTAATATATTTGGTTGTTTATAATTCATTTATTTCGCATATCAGATGCTGCCTGTTGTGAGTGGTGCTTTGGTGAGACGATTTTTTGAATTCTATAGTAAGGGATTCAATCCATCTCAGCGTCAGGTGTAACAACTATTGACATAAGAAGCTAGCGAACCTGTCTTGTTAGCATACTCCAAAATAAAAGTATTAAAGAATCGAGAAAAATAGAAAAAAAGGTGTATCCGTAGATAATTTTTGAGCATTGGCATCTCAACAAAGAGCATTTACGTTCAGGTAAGCAGTTTGTCATAGCATGCATGCGTTTATTTACCAACATCGGCGTCAGGAAAAGGAACAGCCTCCTCTGAAATCAGATAGCAAACAAGGAATCTTTCGTTTTCGGAACTTGATTGAAGGTCAGCTGTTATCCTAGGTGTTCACGCGAGACAAGCTCCCAATGATCGTAACGATTTCGACAGTCGACGTTATTATGAGTTTTTATGTGGTTTTTAGAAAATTAGAAGAAAAACAAACCGATCAAGAAAACCTCTTCTGATGCACCTCGATTGTTTACATAAAAATTAACGGCCATTTTCGAAAGCTGAATGTTAACTGGTGCTTCAGTCGTCCAGGTAGGAGCCAACGGTTGATTTTTCTGAGGACTTTTTGCGACTTCGGTAATTATGGGCCGCTTTAAGAAGTCGCACTTTTAAGACCTGTGACCTGTTATCAGTCCAAATTTTAATTTCGTTGAACAACACTTTACTACAAACTACCAACATCTTTTAACGCACGTCATTATTAGAAAATTATTTACGGCTTAAGAAACAACTATTTTGGAAATTACTAGTGAATGTTTACGCTCTGAATTAAAGATATAATTACGCCAAATGATAGTTGTATTGGATAAACATACCCGTCAAAACTGGCACTTGGAATAAATTCGAAAAATTCAATTGAGATACCTGGATTTGTTTAAGTAGAGTACTAGAAACGGATCGTATAATATTTATATGTATTCTACACGGAATTCTTGTTATTCATAGAATGTATTTTGATCACATAAGTATCCTGTTTCATCCCTTCAAGCAAATTATAGATAAAAAGAGGCATCGTCCACCAGTTTTTCAGACCCTAGATATAGCATGTTTAATTAAACATAAATAAACATATATTATTTATTATTGTACTATTTTCGAGATAGCTAATTGAGTTTCTAAGCCAATTGAGGCTGATAGGGCAGAGACTCACTTGACCATGCTAAATTTACTGTTCGTTTACAGGTTACGGAAATATAAGTCCGTCAACAACGACGGGCAAGATTGCCACAATTTTTTACGGAATTGTCGGCATACCATTATTGCTCATGGTGCTGGCAGATCTTGGCAAGCTATTTACCCGCTGGATTAAGTGGTTTTTCTTCCTTACTAAGCACTTTTATCGGACTGGGACGTGTACGAGAAAAGACCGCAAAAGAAATGGTCCCGTTCAGGTAGGGATTTGCAGTACAGTGCAGTGTTTTTTGCGTAATATCTCAATGTGTTTTCATCAGGTTAAGATTTGTTGAGTATTATTTTCAACCGTAGCAGAACAGCTTTTAGCCTATTTTCACCTTACTAGGATTGTCTTGGTAAAGTACATAATTTATGAAAATCTAGAACAAATTTGGTTTTTAATGCTTGTAGGAAGAAGAAATACTAAACATCTAGGTTAACCTGAGGGTTTCTAAGTTTTATAGATTGCAAAACAAATGTACTAATACTATAGCAATGATAACCTTCATGCCCATGAACAATCCCTTGCTCCATGCTAATTCCACCAGATATAAAAGGATCCAGTTTTTACCTTCCAGCGGATATTTACATCGCTTATACCTGTCTTTACATTTCAGACCTTTTCAGTTAGTGACAGAAAACAGTGGTAGTACGTAATAGCGACTACCTGCATCCCGATTATCGGTATATCCGTCGGATATTATAGCATGTCTTCAATCCACGATGGAACCCTTTCTATAATTAATTGTTAAAACCTCTTTACATTTTCAGAAGTTTCTAAGGTAACTTCAATTCAAGTTTTGTGAATTTAACGATTTTGTAATTTGATAATGCATTTTTAATACTTCTGCTTACTTACACATGAAAAATTAGTTGATGACCTTTGTCCTCGACGTTAGCAAAAATCGTGCTCCGTGCATTTGAGATGATCGGGATTCCAACCTCCATACGAAAAGGGGGATGGATGCACACACAAGTCAATGTAATTTCGCACGTGAAGAGTTGTCGGCAAAATGGCCTTGCCACCAGTAAAATAAAAAAAAAATGTTAAATCACCTAACATCATTGAGTTGATTTACCTAAGCTATTCCAAGAGAATAAGGAGTATCTATTTATCGAAAGAGACTAAATCCTTATGCGCTACCAACCACCACGGACTGATGCTGTTGTTATACCACGTGTACCGTGCTGGACAACTATACTCTAATTCCCGTGACGTCATGATAAAAAGCAAGCTCACAGCTCCTCCTCAGAGTGTCTTTGTTAAAGTCCGATAAAAGTCATCTTTTGATTCAGAACCATAGGAACACACATGCTGCACCAGTTGGATTCAATTTTCAGAGCCTATCAGTAAAACAGGACACAACCACCTAGGGAACTTCGAACACGTTGCTGGGCTCCAGCTGAATTGGATTGGTTCGCTGATGTTGTGCAAACATGGCTGGCTAGACGCCATGCCTCTATTCACGATGGCTTCAAAATTCTCCACATCAACTACTATTAAATTCCATCTTTTTCTATTATTTTGTTATGTATTCCAATATGAGTTTGATATTTTGCGAAAATTCTTTGCTCTCAAAACTATCAGAGTGCTATTTATGAGAGAACTTGATGATATTTTCACTAGCAAAACGACGTGAGGAACATGTTTCGGACATCGTTGACCTCACGCGCTTTGTTAGGACTCTGGCTGTAGTAGCCTATTGTTGACATCCCTACCTTATACAAGCTGGCGTAAAACCCCAATCGTAGAGTTTGATTCTTTTATTTATAATTTTTTAATTCTTCTATATTTGCAGTATGTTGCCTTCGTCTGGCAGAAGGTAAACGATAAAATGACATACGTTCCGTATCCAGCCTATATGAAACCAAAAGCGAAACAGGCGGATGGCGGTGAGGATGGGATAAATACCGATGTCGAGTCTCGTAAAGCTGACACAGAGGCCGGCCAATCTGAGGTACGCTTCCAATTTTACAACATGAGCCAAACCACATCATCACACCAAAAAAACTATCATGTTTAAACAGCTGAAATAACAGCCTATACATGCGTTCGGGATCTTACCTTATTTTTTTTTAATTCAAAAACATGATACTTTAAAGAAAAAAAAAAAATATATATATATATATATATATATATATATATATATTATAGTACCAGTAGACAATGGAAGAAGCCCGGCCGACTAGCAGAGATTGGGGGGCGCTTGCATCGATTTGGCCTACTAGCCACTGCTCATAATTATAACTCGACTATTTTCTATACATTACATTACGTAGATTCAGTTAAAAATTAAATTTTTAACGTAGTAGTTCTTTAGTAGTTCACAAACTACTAGCACCATAGAAGTAATCCTCAGCCGCCAAAATAATGATTTATTTTCATAGAATGCCGTCAATCTAGAGTGTCAGATTGTATAAAATATTTATCAATAAGCTCTACTTGCTTATAGCTCATAGGACACATTTGTTAATGATTCAGATTGGCGAAGATTTTGCGGCCGAGGTTGACGATGAATTCAACCTTCCCGTATCGATCGCTCTTATGATTTTGTCCCTCTACATGACAGCTGGTGCCATCTTGTTCACTGTCTGGGAACCTTGGGACTTCACCGATTCTTTCTACTTCGTTTTCATCTCAATGTCCACTGTCGGTAAGTAATTTATCAGCATTGCCAACTAAACTAGTGTCCAATCTTTATGACGAATCGTACTACACCGACTAAAGCAGATTTTGCTAATTCACCTCCTGGTACCTGACCATAAAACCATGAACTACCTTTCCCTTAAGTCCCTCACTCCCCACCTGTGCCTCAGCCGTTATTCTAGGAAAAAAATGTTGGAAAAACGCGTTGCACAAATACTTCTTCTGGGCGTTATGTCAGTAACGCAGTATATTCAGATGTATTCCAGGAACCTAGATGTCATATCAACAGTATATTCAATAATGCATGATTTGCTGCAACTTTTTCCTTTTGCAAAGCCTTTAATCTGGCGTGTCACTACATTTTATTAGGAAGTCCAAATAATATATTAGGACGCGCATCCATGGAAAGTATTATTTCCAATATCTCAATATGCCGCTAACAGAGGAAATCGTTCTTGGCAATGGTACAACTATTGGATAATGAGGTCTCTGTCCCAGGCGAGATACTGCGAATTGTACTGGAGTCGTGTTGCCTTAAAAGATTATGTTAGACAGGGCTCATAATAGCAGATATTCTGCCACTATTGAGCTCTGTCTTAGAAATTGCTCATATCCGTAAACGTGGCAAATCCCGATCACTCAATGGGGTGCTAAAAGAAATATGGCTTCACGGGAGTGCGTTTTCATATGTTAAAGAGTTCCGCTCAAAGGAAGGCGTCATTACCTTATCTGACAAAGTACACAGCTAAATCAAATGGCAAATTAATTTTACTTTATGCAAAAAATCAGGCATTTCTCAAAAGTGCTCTGCCAAGCTTTTGACTATATATGACTGAAATGAAAACGTTCAATCATAACGTTTAGTGCTATGATTATTTCTTTCTCAATGTCGATTGCATTATTTTCTTGCAAGAATAGCAGCAGTGCAGGCCAACAGAGGATGTTAAATTGAAAGGCTTCATAGGCTTTTCTGTAACTGTAAAAAATAAGTCTATGATACGGTTAACGACTTCAGCCGTGGACTTTCTCAGTCACGCTACCTGAACCGTTTGCCAGTGGACCATAGATCCAACTTGAGTATAACGGAAATTTGCCTGTTCGTAGTGCTATACGGTGGACACAAATCATGATTCATTCAAGATGGAGGTAAACGGGTCTGTCACAAGTCATCTAAACAAGTTGCCCACCTCTTGTAGCAAGTTGCACTCCGTTACATTATGCGTATAGCTGTGCGATAAGGCACTGAGTAATAAAGCAGTCAATCTGGTACGTGCAAAGCCTTTGATCAGTGATTGAAAATCTTCCAGCAGCTTGTGTTGACATAAATCCCTCGTTCTGCCATACTTCATTTCATCGATAGTTGGCGGGTATTCGATATGTTGATTTACGAAGGCCTCCGACGACCGTACGGTCTTCGTCGGAACCACATCGTAAATATCTCGAAGGATCTCAGACTCAGCGAAACAGGGTCAAACGTTAGTGTTTGGACGACGTTGGAATTTCCCTTGGGACCGACCGGTCCCTCACCTTTACTCTAAAACTAAGACCGTAGCCCAGGTTAATATCTTATTTTTATATTCAACAACTTATTTTCGTTGAATGGGACAAAGCGTACTTGATTGTGTTGCCCGCAGGGGCACCTATAGTATTTAAAGGCGTGTGCTATTGTACACGGACAATGCCGAAAATGGTACGTGATGTTTTGATATAATTAAAACTTTACGTGGGCACGCTTAAAGCATATTTGCGTATCAAGACAAATGTTGATTTACCCTGTATTTGGAGCCCTATAGATTTAAATTATATGATTAAATAATAAATTATTAAACAATGTAGATTTGTGCAAATAAGTCGAGATGTACGTGTCGTGAAATATTACAGGAATTTTTACTCAGTTACTGGTCGAGCTAATGGCTAATAAAGGAACAAGTGTGACGGTTCATAGTAGTTCGATTAGGGTAGCATTTGTTATCAACGGTATAAATCTTAATGGCTCATATTAACTACTCATATTGTAGCGCCATTTTTGTTTTGCGGTCCACGGGTACATCTTTATTTGTCAATTTCAGCCGGGGAACTTGTACACGGCATCTGTACCAAAGGCTCTAGCTCTTGAGATATCGGAAATTAGGATTTATCACAGATAAAGACCGATGACAGTCCTACCATGCGATCTTGCAGAATACAGATATCACAAAGGGTAGTTTCCATAATAGCGTACGATTGAATGAATTAGTAATCATTTCTATGATGAGTCAGCGTGTTTGTCAACGAGAGGTTATCCAAGTTTCGAAATCCGGTGTAGACATACCTTGTTTCGTATTAGAAGCCAGCGGCTTGAAATAAACCATAAGAACAGTAGCGCCAAATGTAAAGTTTGAAACATTCAATTAGAAACAGAATCAACAAAATATGTTTAAGAACTGAAGAAAATATACCTTTCAGGACATTAGTCTCAAGTTGTAGCTGGAGGTCCTATAGTGACTGTGAAAAATTCATCCGCTATAGGATTCGCTTTTCATTTACGGAACAGACGTAATGGCCGGATAATTAGAAATTTGATTGGGCAGCGTACGTAGCAGACTTAAGAAGCTTTAGAGATGACTAATGACAATTTAGATCCGGCACGCTATAGACGCGATAAATAAAACGGAAAATTCTGATTGATAGCTAATTTTACTCAGAAAAAAACGTGTGTATTTTGTTTAAAAAGAAATGCCGCATTTCTGTTAGCGTGCTCCTAAAGGTCTATATGGAGTCCGCGAATATGTATAGCAGCAATAAAGCAGTTACAACTATTTTAGCCTGTGTGAACAGGGGCTCAATAAAAAAGAACTGGATTTAATGAATATTATAAATTGGATTTAATCAAACTCATAGCTAAAAGAGATGAACAAATTCCTTGTATATATATATATGAGTGGGAATACGTGTGGGTCTTTCGGCAGGCCTCTGGCTTCACTGCTGCTGACTTCAATAGAAGCACTCAGTTGAAAAATTTTTTCTGCAATTCACTTCGTGGCTCGTAAGGGCCTTTCGTTTCATTATCTCTAAAGACTCTAGTTTTCCGTCGATTGGAGCTCCTTGAAGAAATGTGTTAAACGAAAGGGTCACTTTTCCGGTCGTTTGAGTATTTGGAACAACAATAAACAAATCTCTTTTGCGGGGCGCTTAGTGGTTCATTGCAATACGTGCTAAATAAATTAATTCATTCATTTCTATTAACACAGGCTTTGGTGACTTGGTTCCGGAACATCCAATCTTCATGATGGCTACTTTTATCTATCTGTTGTTCGGCCTCGCGCTTACGTCAATGTGTATTAACGTTGTACAGGAAAAGCTATCCGTTATCTTCCAGAAAGCTAAAATGCAACTGGGAACGACAATCGGTAAGAGCTTGCAAGCTTGAATCCACGGGCTTTGTTGTCGATTTTGCTCATTTAAGCTCTGAATCCGAAAATGAAACGACGTCGTTCGAGTACGAAACTTTACCTAATTTTTTTTTGTGATGAATTTCCATGATCGTGACCGCTATTAGCCGACAGCTGGCTTGAACATCTCGCAGAACGGAATACCGGCTCTTTAGTTCTGTAAGCGTACTTATAAAGGCCCACACATTTGAATTTATTTAACACGAATGTCGATTTCAGGCTTTGACCCATCGATGCTGGCAGAAGAAATAATTGAAGAGGATATCGATGAAGAGGACGACGCTCTCTTTCCTGGTGATTCCAATAATAAGGAGACAGGGGCCGCTATAGTCACTCCTTCAGCTACTAAGACAAGCACAAAACAGGAAGACCGGAAAAAATCAATTTCAGGTAGTGCGATTTACGTTTAAGTATTCTTGTTATCTGCCTCCTGTGGCATCCATACAGCTTTTCTATTTTTTATTTGGTGGTTGTTATTATTAAACGGTTTTGAATTTAGCGAAAAGTATGCGTCACCAAATATAGTTGACCAGAAAGAGGGGATTCATCGTGAACGTCCGGATGAGGTTTGAAAACTGTTAGACAGCCGGAAATGCCTAACGTGCATATCCACGTTACTTCGAATTGTTCTTTTATATAGAACTTTATATATAACTATTACTAATTTATTACGAATGTGAATCGTAGGAAATCGACGAGGCTCGAAGACTCCGAAAAAGCCCAAGATCAACATCGATGAACTGATCAAAAGCGGTAAGGGTGTTGACGCTACGAAGAATATGCAAGAGAGGCTCTAAGGACGGCGATAGCTTTAGGCCCTGCATGTGGCAGACCTTCAGGGCGTAGAGCTTTTTAGCAGCAAATGACATAGGCGCAGATGAGAAAACAGCCAAGAACAACATCCCGTTACTTGCTCAACCGGAATGGACTACCTGTCCACAACTGCCGCAACCAGCTGTGAAGTGCATCTTCAATGAAGGTAAGTGGCCCATTAGAGAGGGCCAGTGCTTGCCATATCTTGACCATGTCTCTCTCTACATATAACCGTCGATCAAATTCTGACAAGTGATTCAAAAGCTAACAGTTTACGACAATGTTTTTTTTCAAAAAAAAAAAAAACGTTGCCTTAAACCGTTATCACGCTTTTTTTTTTAGTGAGAATAGAGTATTCGATACAATACTGAGCTGTATTTTGGGTTTGTCAATAAAGTTGCCCACTAACAAAGCCCAAGTACAGCTCAACATTGTCTCGAAAACCCAATTCTCATGTTATATATATATATATATATATATGTATATGTGTGTGTATATATATATATATATATGTATATGTGTGTGTATATATATATATAATGTCAGTCCAACGGGTCAAGATATTTCGAGTGCAACCTGATTTGAAGATGCGCTTTTACCAATGAAAGTTGGTAAATATTTAATAGCCAAAGTTGGCGCATTGCGCGAAAGAAAACTTTTTCTAAGTATTTTTATTGTTTGCTTCACACTTTTTTCAGATAATTTTGCTGGCTGTTGGTTGAGCAGGAGTGGGTTTGTTGGCAGTGAAGTGGTCGATTTTCGAACTGTTTTTCCTCTTTCTTTATTCGACTTTAGAATGGTTTAACTATACACAGAAAGTACACCATCTTATAACCCTAGTAGGACAGGGGTTGTCTAAATCAGATCCACTATCGTTTGTAGATATCTGTCTTGCATATTGGACTTTAAGGAAAATAGCTATCTCTATTGAAATAAAATCAAAATTTGTATCATGTACTTCGGCAGAACTTGCTGATAGCGGTCGATCTAGATTAACAGTACTTTTAACTAGCTTCTTCATTGAAATACGTTACAAGGAAGCTCTGCTCTTCTTTAGCTAAATGCCCGCAGTCCAAGAAGGTTATGCTGAAAAAGCCACAAGGTGATATACTTTCGGAAAACACTGTTTGCATTCTAACATGTAACCCAGTCCCATGGTACTAAATATCTGTATCCATCATTGACGAAAATCAGCACACCGTCTTTGACCAGACAAATATAAATAGTTTCTTGAACTGATACTTTTTTGGTATAAAGAGCTTTTAAATCTGCTTTTTTAAAGCATTATCGTTTTTATGAAAGGTTTTTGCTTAATTTTTTAGCTTTTGACCACTTTTAAGACCCTTGCCCACTAACCTACCTGGGTACCTGAGGGTACCTGTTTTCATTTCAGTAGTGAGTAACTGAGATTTTTTTTGCAGACGCGTGGCAGTACGTGACCTAATGGCTTTTCCGCGAACACTTGACTTGGACTAGAAAAACCCAGCCCGGTTCCGGATGGCGAATGTCAATCATTCATACGTTATCTTCAGCGTTCCGTGCACCACACTGTCTGTCTGCAGCTGCTAACATGAACTAACCAACGACTCACGAAACAGCCGATGGAATGGCTGATAGTCCAACTAGATCCAAACAAAAGCGCCGAAGCTTTTAAATTTAGCGCCAAATCTGGTACCGGTGATCGGTCCAAGCTCTCATGGTCGTGCACAGCCGTTTAGCGCTGTTCGAGCGCTCGACTCTATCAGTAATGGTATCGACAAATAAACCTATAAGCGTGGCCAGAAGGACCAAGCAAGCGGTGAAAATCAACCTGCCGATACTGCAGGCCCGTAAGCCCATCATTTGTGTACATCTATAGTTATCCATTGATGCTCAGCTTTCCAGAGAATTAGCCGAAATCGGTGTCGCTTAGAAACGCCAGCAACTGCTGTATGTTTGACCCAAGGACATTATTGCATAATGAAGCAAAAGCATTCGAGTGTTCACAATAGCAGATGTTTTCGGCTTGCTCTCTTCGCGTCGATTTAATTTGGATTATGTCATTTCCATTACTCAGTTGCCACATTTTAGGGATATTCACGATTCAATAGTGTACCAGGGTCAATGAACAGTACCACAGTTGATGCTTAAGGCTGTGCACAATAACGATCGATCGGCCTTGCCAGAATAGCTAGACACCCACGGCTATAGGCTACGCTAGGACACGAAGCAGCAGCAACACCGCATATTGAAGATGCACTTCGTAGCAGATTTTAGATTGTTTTCAAATGATCTGTATTGTACTAGATACATTTATAATGATTCAGAATATATCTGAAGTGAAAATGCCGTTGGAGGGCAAGGCGGAAGCTGAGGCTCAATTTTTCAACGAAGTTCATGATCAACGGTTGTAACAAGATCATTGTTGTTTTTTCATCAGTATCGCCATTTTCCCAATTTAAAATCGCCGGTGCCTAGATGTGATGATTGCTTCGAAGCATTGGCTATACTTGAGAAAACTTTAATATTAAGGTAGATCGTTTTCGCGCAAATCATAGTTAACTTATTAGGGTTCTGTTAGGTTACAATTTTGTTAGAATTAGTGCTAGACACATCAGACTCCTTTGATCGCAAAAACTATGCTTTGTACGGAGACAAATGAAAGTATCGTCCCTCACAGACCTGAATTGAACGCTTTATATTCTGTATCGTCCGTTTTTCTTTTTTTTTTTTATTATTTACAACTTTATGAGCATGATAAATATGTTCGGTTATAATGGGTCGTTCGAAACTGTAATATATATTTTACGACATTAGCGCGTGTAACCCCAATTTGGATCCTCTGAATTATTTGTCTCTGAGCCAAATTTTGTAGATAATTAATATCGAAATAATGTAATTACAATAGAAAACACGAGACAAAAACATCGCTCTCATTCCAACCTGTAACGGTCCTCAGTGTCGCTTAACGTATATACCACGCCAACAAGGAACGGATGGTAACAGGTAATAACAGAATGAAAAATACTTATATGATGAAATTGTACAGTTTATTTTACAAATTATTTCATTTAGCTATAGATACGCTAATATTGCCTGGTAGTAACACTTTTCCATTCCGCCATTGGCGTTCATGTAAATAAACGGCGCTGGTTGGAACAGTACGGCTTTGTTGGAGTCCGCTTTTGTCAGGTGCGCACCTGTCCTAGAGTGGTCCTTTTTGTATTCAATTCTCATTTATCTTTCTACACTCGGCGCTAGAGTAATATCTCGTTTCTGCTTGGACGATGTCAACCTCAAATGTCAAATAACGGTAATAGCTTATCTGGCTGACGTTGGCCGTTTCAATTTCGTTGGTACAAGTCCCACTGCATCACTATCTAGAGTCTTTCGATTACGTGAGCCATGTACGTGCATGCTTAAATGGAGAAAAAACAACGAACGTTGAATGTTAATGATGCTAATGTATATTCTTTGGTCGAACTGCAAAATAAACATATCAACAGTAGCGTGAGAATTTTTTTGATAGACAAACAGCATTGCCATAGTTTCTAGTATAATACAAAAGACTCAAGAGAATTCTTCAAAGAGCTTATCTCTGACGTAAATCCGTAATATCTGCAACGGATCCGATTTTCACTGAACATATTTTTGTGCAACTTGGTAAACCATGCCTGTAAATCTATTCTGCTTGCTGATAATAAAATCAAAAGCTTCCCGATCATAGAAAGAGAGAAGATACAGCTAGTAAGTATTGTGACCTAATCCTACTAGTGTTCCTGTTACTCACGGGAATACAGATATGCACGTGAGTAACAGACATAATAACGAAAGAGAAAGAAATAGCAAGTTCTTCTTCTTGATTCTTGCAATCCAATTAAATATAAACAAATTTGAAAAAATAACAGAAGTCAAACATTTAAACAGTAACGACGGTGGCACCATTTAAATGCTAACTTGATGTTTTTTTTTGTATATACGTCTATTTCCAGCTAAGAATTTGTGTTATAGTGAGCATAGCCTTTTTCGCATAAAAGTTTACGTGTAGTTTCTTTATTCATTCTTGCAAAAAAACAAGATCGTCCATGAACAAGAGAATTACCACAGACGCATACGTGCCGACAAAATCACATACTAGTTAAGCCATTTCAATACATATAGCTAAATAACACAATGCAGTGAATACTCAACCGTAACTATAATAAGTTGGCCTAAGTATTGTATAACTATTATAATTAATATTTATGAGACATCGACTCGCACAAATGTGTAGAAATCGTACACTGCTAAGTAAAGTTAAGAAGCCTAAAATAATGAATTACTTGATTCCTGCAATTTTTTTATTGATGTTGTAGGGTAAGTTTTTTCTCGCTATTTGTTATACTTAGTCGTGTTCGGTATTATTCAGCAGTAATAACAACACACAACAGCACAAGAAGTGTTTACTGTAAGCCCCCTATCATTGCGCTTCAGGATTTGTGGATACGTTTAGGTCTAATCTTCCCAGGCTGATATTGTTGCCTAAGGCTTCGAATCGGGACATGAAAGTGACAGTCTTTAGTGGCTAGAAGTAAACACTATGGAAAACAGGCGGGAAGCGTATATAAATGAATGCTTCCCAGACAACTGTTTCGTAAGTGGCCCCTGGATCAATAAAATAACACAAGAAACCAAATTATCTGTGGCTGCAGATATGGTTTAAAGATTCTAATTCGATCGAGCACTTGCAGGCTAAGAACCTGCTATCAGCTATTCAATGACCGTTTGAAAGTCGTACTTTATTTTTCTCAAGCAATTATACGTGCCGTGTATCGTAGCCTGAAGCAACTTTTGCCGGCTTGATTACCATCATGCCCATTTGAGGCTTTCCTGTTTAGACGATTGCACGAGATGTAATTATGGTAGGCACTGTAAACTTGGTAGTTCTTGACGTGATACACATTATAATAGTTAAGTAAGATATTATAGATCAAAAGCAATGATACTGCGATGTGTCCTTTATCACTTATGACACACACAGAAGTAACAGCAAACGGAGGGAGCATTTGTTCCATAACACCATAAGATAGGACCTGTAAATGCCGGAACTCGGCTAAACGAAGCAAAACAGATATCTCTCAGAAATATGTATGATAATGCGAAAACCACTGTTTTTACTATGACAGAGAATCGTACGTATAGATTTTTCAAATTGACAATATACCGATAAAGCCAACTGACTAAACGCGCTACGACACTGCCAGACGCCTTTGTTTACAGATAAGATCCAAGATCATCCGGTTAACCTACAGGAGTCTACCAAGTATAAATAGGTTTCTTTATAAAAATAGCTGATTGTCACCTTTGGGTTCCCGCGATTTTGAAGATCTCCTCCATAACTGTAACCTTCAACTCTTGCGAACAACTGATATTTTCAAGAATCAATATTATCTGTACACCGTCGCTGCGTTGATTTCGCCCCATAATGTTACTCCGCGATTGAGCTAAAAAACTTACTACTTGACGAGTTCCGATAAGAAAGTTGGCTGTATCAGGAATATATTACGGTATAATTCTCTGCAACTAAATCCTACTTAAACCTAAATAGCGGAAATTCGAATGTGAATGGTACCTAGTAAAATAGCAGGTCCTTTTAGGCTTGTTACGGTAATAGAAATTTTTATGTAATTCTATTATGAAGTTAAAAAACTGAGCTGTTATTACTATAAGTTTATCTTCGACCAGCGAAAGGAACTTATATGGATACACTCCTCTTCATCCATTTTTAGTTAATGAAATACTTGAAATAATTATAATTTTTAGTCTGTCAAGCTTACTTATTTCAATTATTTACTTTTATAGAAACGAATGTCTAAGCAATCTTAAATTACTTAACTTTTAAACTTAAGTTATTTATGTTTTTACTATGTTTTATTCTATTTATATTTTTATTCTAAATATTAATAATATGAGATTTCTTATAATATAATTTTATTGATGAATGATACTAATTCTTTTAAGAATACTTTTGGTTTTCATAAAATTATACGTTTTCGTGGATAATTTCGTTTGTTATGTCACTTTTACACAAATTTCGGTGTTTACCTTTAAAATTAGAGTTCAGTAGCCCATGGGGTACTCTATATCAAGCATTCGATTCTCAAATGATTCGCGGTATTCGGAACTATTACTATAAAGTTTTATGACTTCGCCTCTTTCCAAGTTACAAAATTCTTATACTGCATAGTTCGAGCAATCAACTTGAAAATGTCGAAAATAGTTGCCGAATTCATATGCTATATGAGTAGCTAGCTTTAACTAGTCAGCAGCGATATTAAACCGTTTTATATTTATGACTGTGAAACTTGCTAACAAAAGTAATCCGACCAAACCTACTCTTATTATGAAGCGTTATATTTAGCATCGGGCAATTGCTATTGCTCATACGGAGCTTGGTGCTTAACTAGAAATCCTTTAGGTACTCCGGAATACGGAAGCAGGCCGTTAAGAAGGAAGTGTTATAGAATGGAAATGCTCCTGTCTGGCATATTGGAGTGTACGCTGGAGGCAGCTTTGTGTTTAGTGGTTGGTAAGCGAACAATTAACGTTATTACGCATCTTCTGATGGCGAACGAGGCATAAAACGAGCAGAAGGTTGACTCATACATTATGCTATTTTGTACTGACGGTATTTTGGTGGAGGCCTGTTACTCGAGCGTTCCATCTTTAATTGCAATTTCAAAACGAGAGAATCCTAGGCAATCGAGATTTTTTAGTAGAAAGTAAAACGGTCAGCAATCGTTCGACAGCAGCCGGCTTGACTTACCGGCCATTGCCCGCGCATTGGTCAAACTAAGCTGGCCTTCAGCTTACCCATCGTCGAGTTATCTCATATCGAGCCAAAAAAAGGTTATCAGAAAAGATCGTGCACAGGTGATTATTTTTGCAGAGACCATGTTTGCGATGTTTCGGTTTATAGCATAGGTGTCACAAATGAAAAAACCTCTTTTATCGGAGTTCGTACGTCCGGGCGTAGGGTTCTCAACTGGCAGCTGGGAAATTCAAGGCTTCGGAATTTTCTGCTAGGTTTCCTGCCATTCGATTTTCTCATCCTATGAAACTAATCAGTGCAAACTGAGCTGCAAGATCTGTTAGGAAAGTTGAGAAAATGAATACAGTAAAAGAAGTATGTTGAAATGATAAACTTACCGTAAAACCAATCAACTTCATAAAATTTCTACAAAATATGGTTGTTCTGGGGAGCTGTAAGATATATTCGAACGTACTGCATGATGGCATAACCCCAGAAAAGTGCGTAGGTTTTTCTGCAGAAGGACGTCTCTAGCTAGCTTTAAATGAATTTTTTTCTGGAAATTTTCTTTCCTAAGATATTTTAGGCCAGTTCGGCTAAACGTCTTAGCAAGTTAATGAACAATTCATGAACTTGATTATTAAGGCAATTGAAGGCAAGATTGATTATGTGCTAAACTACGACTAACTGGACGAAACACTTAAAAAGACGAAATTTTTGTTGTCCACGCAATAAAAGTTGTGTAAGCGACCACATCGATTTCCGGGGAACTTACCGTTTTTTATGTCAACTATTACGTGGCAAAATGTTTTAAAAAACTTTTCTCTAGTTTAAGAATATTTTAGATTTTTCTTTCCTTGTTTAAGCTGAGCGGCCTGCCGCTTGGAAAGTGCATCACAGATAAGTATGGAAAAGCAATACAAAAGATCAACGAATGTGTCCAGCAAAAACATGTAACGCATTAAGGTTAGACATGATCTGCACTACAAATGTGGGTACCTACGACAGAAAAAAGAAACAAATACCTGATGTAAATAGAAAAAGAGAACAGAATTTCCTTCTGACCTAATCGATAGCTATCTTCTTACTTCATTTTTTCTTTGTATGTCCGAAATACGTGTCAATTTGGTGAGAGAGATGGCGGGGTCGGTGTCAGAATCCTTTTGCCTAATCCCGATACTTCAACGGCTAATACAATTATTGAGTTATTGAACACAATCATTTTCAGGGCAGTCTGAAGTGGTTGAGTAATGAATTGGTGCTGAGAACTTAGACTGATGATTTAATAGATAAAGTAATGTATTGCAATCGGGATTGAGACCGGGTAGTTGTAGCTTTAAGGCTATGCCCACCTTGCCAAGCAAACATTACGTTATTATGGAGTAATTGGTTCATGTATCTAAGATGCTTTCACATTTTTGGGCGTCAGTGGATTAAAGACCCCGATATAGTCGGTTCGTGGTTTGAAGAATATTCATTTGAATTCTGCGTATGATTTTGTAACGCAATTATTACTCTAATCGCAATATGCATCTTAATCCATAAAAAAAAAAAAAAAAAAAAAACAGTATCGCGTCTTAAACTCGAAAGATTTACTTAGTCTGGCCTGATTATTCTTCACGGTACTTAAAATCGATAATAATAGGACAGTCTAGTGGTAATTTCACAAAAACAACTAAACAAACCTTTAGGGTAAACAGCAGATTAACAAGAAGAAACACAACGTAAAGAGAAACGAATCAACTGCCACACCCTGAAAAATTTATTTCAGATTTAAAAATGGAAACACACAGAAAATACACACAAGAAAGGGAACGGTTCAGCGGTTTCACTCAGTGAAAGATAGGAGTTTGTTATTTCTAGTATTCGAGCAGCTATATTATTCAGTAGCTGTTAATTATTCAACACTAGCGACGATAAGCAAG